CATGCCACGTCTGTTTGCTTCTGTAGCTAGCATTATGCCACAGCCACACTCTTAAAGTAAGCCTGTCTCAAACCAAGAGTTTGAACACTTCATATAGCCTAAGCACCTCAACAACTTGTTGTCAGTACACTGGCATTGTAGTCACAGTATATTCTGTAAATGTTTACAATATATCCTTCTTGTTTTTATGACTATTTTTTTTGTATTACTTTATTCTACACTATTATTACCGACAGTATTTGTTTTTGTGACAGCTCTAGTTTTACTGCTAGTTGTATTATTACTGAAGTGTTGAGGCAGCTCACAAGGAAGCATTTGACTGCACCGTTTATGCTGTATCCTGTGCATATAACGAATAAACGTTGATTTGAACGTTGACCAAAAAACAACATCAAAACAGAAGAAAACATTTCTAACAACAATCTAATTGCCATAGTGATCGGCGGCACCACCCAAACCCTTCAGTGTTCAGATTGGACTTGACCTTGGAGCTAACGGTGTGTGCAACAGCTAACTGACCCTAGGGACAAAGGCTACGTCCTCTAAAAATACGTTCCTTCTGGTGTGGTCAAATTCAGCATGCCATAGGCACATTGAACAACTTTGTTAGTTGTTGTGTTTGAAAGGCTTCAATATGTGCATGCAAATAACAGTCTATTTGTAGGTATACATGCTGAAGCCATGTGTAATGGCGTGAAGAACGTGCCGTAACCTCACTCCACAGCTAGCTTGAAATGTTGCAGATGGAGATATCCAATCGGTACCTTTGTATGGCTCAAATCGGTTTGCACGTTGTCAAGGAGGGCAGTCACGTGTGTTGCGAAGCAGAGGATCACAGGTTCGAACCCAGTATGGGCCTGACGACTGATACTAAATTGTTCCGCTGCACTGTGATTAGCTACATACCTTAGTCTGAGACTGCAATCATTGAAGTCGTTTGTGGTGACGAGGGGCGTTGTACCAAACAAAGTCATCAGCGATTGGATCGTCTCTAACCAATCAGTGTATCAAAGCCAACAACTAATTTTTTAAACAGCTGCTTTACCCACGTGTGTTCTGGCTCTGGCTCAACCCATCGTTTTCTGGACCAATCAGACGGCCCCTGAATGTGTTCGCATTCGGTGAAGGGTCGGGGAGGTACTCAGATCCAGACTCATTGCTGAGAAGGAAACGAAGGTCCATGGGCGTGACGTAGCATTTGGCCGGAGCAAGGTGTCTGGGTAGCCAGGCAAGGGCAGTCGGACCGTGGAGGAAGGTAAGCTGTTAGTAGCACACTGACCCCCGTTATACGTCCCTCTCGTATGGGCATATACCTATGAGTGTAAAACGGCTTTGTTGTGTTTTTGTGTAGGCATGTTTGAGAGGGACTTGTGTGTGTGTGTGTGTGTGTGAGCCTACTTCCTGAAGAGCTGTCAACAGGGGAATGTGGGAGGTCTGTTCTTGGCAGGAAAATTGAGGTCAGCAGCAAACGACTAGCCTAATGTTAATTACAGCTGAGATGTGTCAAGTGCTGTTTGAGTGCAAAGTCCCTCTCATCTGAAACGACATGTGTGTTGAGTGGTAATCTAGTATGCTTCCATTTGACTATGGAAATGCTCCATGTATTTGAGGTACAGGGCTATGCATAGCTAGAAAAGGTGTGTGTGTGTGTGTGTATGTGTATGTGTCAAATTCTTCTGAGTGCGTCTTTGAATTGGGAAAACCTGCTTAGCGAGCTGCTTTCATTTGTGCTTGTTTTGTGTCTTTATCTGAAGGGTGATCTCACACACTGCTGATGTGGGAGACAGAGACAGGACCAGCCTGTTAAAGAGGGCTGTGGGTTAGAGCGCACAACACAGACAGGCAAGGAGAGATTGTGAATTTCTACTGTTCAATAGAAAACATCATCAAATGGGTGAGAAAGCAGAAGCACTAAGTGGAAATTATGAGTTGCTTATTTCTGCAATAAGCTGTATGAGTCAACACAATTCTATAGTAGTGAAATTATTTTTAATGCCTATTTCTTGCTGACAAAGATTATTTTTGTTTAAAAACCGACTAGAGCAGCGACATACAGGCTTAGCGCAGAAAATAGGAAATTATGACAGAGACTAGAGTGATGTTTTGCCCATAACCCCACAGGGTCAGGTACACACCTGCTGTTTCTACATCTGCATCATACACCCATCCTATTATAGTCTCCTCAGAGCCAATACTAAACTGGGTTAGTGAGTGAGAGGGACAGTCAGTGCATTATAAATTAACTAAACTGGTGCAGCTCATGTATAGAGTACACATTTTCATCCATTAGCCTAACAGGAGGAAAGTATTAGGCCCAAGGCTATTATGTGCAACACAAAAGTATAGGCTGTAGCCTAGCGATAGACTGCCATATTGTAGGTTGTGATAGTCCCGCTGCCGATTTCCGGATGTGGCATGGAAGTTATAAATAGACCAGGGGGAGACAAGCCTACACCTGGGTCTCACTTTGCAACAAGGGCAAAACACCAGTTAGCCCAAGATGTACTCTTAAGAAGCCTACCGTTACTCCTTAAGGTCCAATGATCTTAAATTATTTTCAGAGCTAGACTGGCTCTGGCCGCCAAAACAGCCAGATACTCCACCTAAACGTGAATCGATTCTCAATTGCGATACGGTTCTAGAAACATAAAGACCATTTACTTTCATGTCACACCAATATAATTTCACTACGCAAAATATACACTTACTGTACAATGTTTTAACAGGCTTTATCACAGTTGCAGCCAACAGTATTTTTCAGTGACATGTTTCTGGCAGCCGTCTTCCGTCTACACACAGTTGGACGCATACATTCGATAAATCCAATGTATGCACCACCCAGAACGCACTGCAACTGCCTCTGCAACGCAATGCTGCAGGGCAAACGCAGTGGTCCATTGGAAATGAATGTACTTCTTGTGTACCAAAATGCAATGACACTGTCGGTGTGATCGAGGCGTTAACGTTCAGACCGAGCGTCAGGGATTTTAACAAAACTCTCCCGTACAGAAGACGCCTTCCTCCAATGACTTGTGTAATGTAATTGAACGGAGTCATTCAAGGGCTAAACACCAGTGTGACGCAACACAAAATACCATTTTTCTCCAGTTTCCACTACACCCACCTATTCCCTCTGTACTAAACTCACCCACTATAAACGAGTTCTTTGGACCCCACAAAACTATACAGTATATTTACACAGGATACATTGCCTAACTACCGGAAATATTTTTGTTTTTACTGGCCGGCACGGTAGTGACACTGAGCAACGGGTATAGAAATTATACATAACAGCAGGTCCTATGCAAACACCATTGGTAAACCAATGTTGTTGACATCTTTGTGGCACCCCATCTTGCCAAGTGGAGCATCATCTTCACAGACCACAGCAAGTGCAGAGGAAGTGGATAAAAGGAGGACAAGCAGCCTAATTTTCAACAAAATGTTTTTCACTTACCTCAATTCTACAGACTACACTCCATAAAGATTATGCTCAACATAGCCTCAGACTGAAACAAGCAGATACTGTAGCTAGTTGTGTTCTGTTGTTGTGTAATGTCATGTCACCTAGAGAGTTATAAATTGCATACATCTTACATGGAAAACAATTCAGTGTGTACTGGGAACTGTCTACAATACACAAATAATTAAGTTATCAATCTAATCTACTGATCAGTCGACTGAAGTAGCCTGGTTTAATTTCCGTGTTCGGCCCTGCTGACTGCTTACAACCGCTGACACTTGCAGGAGCAAGTTGCCCCAAAACGCTAGATAGCAAAGTTATTTGGTCCATATTTATTGAATTTAGTTTAATTTCCTTACATAAATAGATACTAATGTGTAAGAGATTTCTGCTCCTAGACCACAGTGCCTCCAGGCAACTTTTCACGATATCCTTTGAAACATTTGTTATTCAGCCTGGCTTGCCACGCAAACGTCGCATCTAACGTCAACATTTCATTCCTCCTTTTTCATTTTGTTTTGTTTGCTTACGCCAAGTGCGTAAATGTTGTTTGAGTATGTCACCAAATACCCGTTTAGGAGCACGAATCATCTCACAACTACCAACTGGTTATCTAGCTAGCGAAATGCCTTCCTAAAAGCTGACCCCAGGGAGATTTTACAAATTCAGTTGAGTGAGCTAAACCACAAATATGATAGCAGTCTAGCTAACGTTAGCTTTGAGCACCACCAACCTGCCAACGAAATTTTCCAAGACCGAGCTTTTTCCAGCACTCTGCCCACCGACCACAGCAATTTGCGGTAGGTCCAAGTTACAACTCTGGCCGATGGAACTGAAAGCGTCCTGGAGTTTGTTGATAAGGGGGATCAAATCTTCCATCCCCCGGTTCCCCATGGTTTCGTTGGATCGGCTCCCCTCTAACGTTAGCCTACTACGTTACTAGTTAGCAAGGTGCTCGGGTTACACCGAAGTGTTGAATTCCACCTTTCAAGCCGCCCTGTCTTCACTCTGTCAAAGGAAAATATGCTGTTTACAATTGTGTAACGCCCAATTTAGTGGAATTACAATAACGTGTTCTTATACACACGAAAAAAACTCAAAGTCAACCAAACGAAATGGGTAGAAAACTCACAAAACAAAACTTCCACCATCCGGTCAGGCAAATCGACATCCGACCTAACCGGTGATTAGGCTACCGCCTCCTGTCAATTAAATAATTGGTCAATCTCACTGCTCGTCTCTAATCACTCTCCTTTCATTGGCTAGTTGTTTTAAACGTAAAAGGGGTGTGTTCACCCATGGGCATCGCTTCAATGGGCAAATTAAGTGTCAATCACAATGATATTTACGCCCACTAAAAAGATAATAACACTTTATGATACAATTATTAAATGACAACACATGCAACGATAGCTTCTACGAGTTTGCTGTCAATAGTATTGTAATGAAGACATATTTTTGACAACGCAATGCAAATATTAGATTACTGTAGTTCCGGCAAGTCACGTGCTTGTCGTCGTCATCTGTGTGCAACAACATGGCTGCGTCCATAGCCAGAGGAGCTGCAACGAGCAGCCTTGAAACAGGCATGGTTGTCAAGAAAGCTGTTTCCATCGTTGCTCCGCTTGCTCTCCGAATCATCGCCGAATGTCCAGTGACCAAAGCGAGGGCTTGTGATCTCACACTTCCTCACTGTACGGTCAGCACCCCAGTGTTCATGCCTGTGGGCACACAAGGCACGATGAAGGGAATCACTGTGGACCAACTCGATGATCTGGGATGTCAGATTTGTCTTGGCAACACATACCACTTGGGGATGAGGCCGGTAAGTGTAGCCCAAGAATGCAAGAAAGGAGCCTAACATTACTCCTTATAGTCCAAGGACCGTACATGTTCTGTTTAAAGGGGCAATCAGCAGATGCTACATCCATTTTTGGATTTATACATTAATGATATGTACCCATTGATTCTTGAAGAATATAATTTCTAAATGCCTCATGAGATTAGTTCAACTGTCATACCCCAACAGATCTAAAATATAACTTTATTTTACTCCAATGTTAGTAAACAAAGTAAATGTAAACAAACACAGTATAGCCTCAAAACATGGTTCAAGCTATAATTATGATATCATGGATGGTCAGTCCTTGCATCCATAGCTCTGTCTATGAATTTGAGAATGGTTACATATCTCCAGCCCCATCCCTCAGCTTTTTAGTGAAACAGTGGTGGAGAGGGGCTTTGTTATTGTTTCAACTGCTGAAATCCAAAACAGCCAAATACTCCCATTTAAACGTTAATCGATTCTCAATTGCAGTACGGTTCTAGAAGCTTAAACCCCTCTACTTTCTTATCACATCAAAATAATTTCACAAATGCAAAATGCACACTTACTGTACTCTGTTTTCAGTGACAAAAAGCTGTAAAGCTGTGTATAACCCTATAAAGCTGTGTATCAATTTAACCTTTAGTTTTTTGAAAATTATTTATTGCTGATATGGAAGATATAAGGTCTTTATGCTTCCAAAACCGTACCGCAAGCGATGCATGTTAATGTTCAGACTGAGCATCAGGGCTCTTAACAAAACTCCCCTGTATAGAAGACACCTTCGTCCAATAACTCTTATGTGTAATGTAATGGAACTGAGAGTCATTATCAAGGGCTACATTAAGTGATGCTAGGGCTATTCACATTGTGTATCAAAGATGATTGACCATGTAGACCGCTCTTTGTTGTCAGTGTCTGGTGTGCTGCAGACAGTGAGGATGGTGTTGTCTGTCTGTCCCATGACAGGGTCCTGAGCTGATTGAGAAAGCAAATGGCCTGCATGGCTTCATGAACTGGAAAAGAAACCTTTTGACTGTGAGTATCAGCTAATGTGTTGACTGTGTGAAATGTCTGCTTTCCTCTATTGAACCCCTTAAAGGAAAACTCCACCCAAAAACTATATTTTGGTATTTGTTTCCTTAGTCCATTGTTGACATAGCTCCTAAATGTTTTGCTTGTCAGCACTCAAGTTTTCAAGATATGTGACTTTCAAAATACAGAAATCATCCCTGTATGATGCATTTTGCATCATGCAAAATACATAATAGAGAGATTATTTCTGTATTTTGAAAGTCACATATCTTGAAAACTTGAGTGCTGACAATGGACTATTGAAACAATTACCAAAATATAGTTTTTGGTTGGAATGTCCATTAACCTGCACCATTTCTACGCAGGACAGTGGGGGCTTTCAGATGGTGTCTCTTGTTGAACTATCTGAGGTTACTGAGGAGGGGGTCAAGTTCAAGTCTCCTTACGATGGGAAGGAGATCCTTCTGAGTCCTGAGCAGTCAATCGCCATACAGAACAGTCTGGGTGAGAAACACAATCCAGTCTCATTCATAGAATATCCACTCTCAATTAATCAGTCCGCAAAGTAAAGCCACTATACTTCAGGTAGTACTCCTGTTCTTAATTTTAATATCGCACCAAATCCTGTTTTGTCCAGGGTCAGACATCATGATGCAGTTGGATGACGTGGTCAGCAGTACAGTGACTGGGCCGCGGGTGGAGGAGGCTACGTGGAGATCGATTCGCTGGCTGGACCGCTGCATCGCGGCCAATAAGAATCCAGACAGACAGAGCCTGTTTGCTATCATCCAGGGGGGCCTGAACGCAGAGCTACGCAAGGCCTGTCTAGACGGTAAGATGTTCCCCCCTGTTCCATCTATGTCCTTCCATGACTGACCTGCCTCAAAGCTATTCAGCACAGCAAATGACTCATGTCAATTAGCTAATTAGTTTAACTTCTTCTTTTAGAAATACAGTGGAAAAGAGATAATGAAAAATACATGATCTGTGCAGATGCTGATACCAATGCCGTAAAATATGCATTTGCGTATTTCCAAAGGATACATTTTGTTTCTATTTTTCTGTTCCTGTGCTTTTTACAGAAATGACAAAACGTGATGTTCCTGGCTTTGCTATCGGTGGGCTGAGCGGAGGTGAGGAGAAGGATGATTTCTGGAGGATGGTGACACTCAGCACAGACCACCTGCCTCGGGAGAAGCCTCGCTACCTCATGGGGGTTGGGTATGGCTGCCTTATGTTGTAACAGCACATATCCATGCATAAATGACATGAGTTGCAAATGTTTTGTTGTGCCATACAGATATTTGTATGTATGTGATTAATGTGTTATTGCTGTGGGTTACAGTTATGCAGTGGACCTGGTGGTGTGTGTTGCTCTGGGTTGTGACATGTTTGACTGTGTCTTCCCTACCCGCACTGCAGTAAGTATTCCATTCTCTTACATATTATGAGTCACCTACTCTCTATTCATTTACTGCAAAATAAGTATTCTTGTCACAAGTGCTGAGAAACCCAATAGCTTCTTTTGTCATTTAGTCCATAGCAGTACTACTTTCTTTATAATGATTATATTTATGATGATGATGATAATGAAGTGATCTTCCTCCTTTCATCCCAGAGGTTTGGCTCAGCCCTGGTCCCGTGGGGATCTCTGACGATTACCAAGAAGCAGTTTGCCAAGGACCTCCAGCCCATAGACCCAGACTGCCAGTGCCCCACCTGCAGGAGGTAAAGGCATATTAACCCTGGTACACTGGGGGTCAGAATACAGAGGGCTGTGGGATGGTTGAAGGAATGGAGTTTGTAGGGGTTAGGGAAACTGGGTTACAAATCTCAATTCTCTTCAATGGATGTTTTTAGTTGTAGGCAGAATGATTCTGAGGATTGTTTTCTCATACAGTATTGGTTTTATTTTGCTCCCCAATGATTCCAGGCACAGTCGGGCCTATCTGCATGCTCTGTTCAAGAGTGACACCGCAGCCATGCATCACATTACCATCCACAACATCTCCTACCAGGTCTTTGTTTCTATAATGGTTAATAGTTTCCTTTAGTTACTATTTGGCATAGATTATATAATAACCTTATCCTCTGTCTTTGCGTCCAGCTCACTCTGATGCGGTCGGTGAGACAGAGCATCATAGAGGGTCACTTCCCAGACTTTGTGAGGACGTTCATGAAGAGAATGTTCCCCTCTCCTGAACAGTACCCAGGCTGGGCGGTGGACGCTCTAGGAACGGTCAACATCACATTGAATTAAACTGGTAAACTCCTTCCTTTACACAGACTGGGACTTCCTCTGCAATGGCCAATAAGACCTTTTATATGAGAAATCAGATCTCCTTTTTAAGAAAACATTTTTTTCTACTTTTATGCTTCAATTGGGTAATTGCTTCTGCCTGTATATTCTGTCAGCCTTATTAGTGAACGGTTCAATGATGTTGATGTGCCTGAATATTTTACTGTCTTGATGATTTAATTACGTTCATGTTTTGTTACAGTAAGGTTATAGGTTTTTTTGTCATTTATATGCTAAACAGTCTGTTGAAAGTTATGAATTTACATTGTACAGCTTTCAGCTCCTGTCAGACATACAGTACTTCTGTGACATCCAGTTTTCACTCTGCAGACCTTTTCAGTGTATGATAATGTAGGAGTGGAGTAGTGTTGTTGAAATCCAGGAACTGTCTCCTCTGATATATTCAGACACTTTTAGTTGTTACCATGGCTACAGACCAGCGGCCCACCATCTTTAAATTCCATGCATGACTTCTAACACAGAAATGTGGTCATAAACTAAGAATTATAGAGCATTTCTGAACATTTCCTAGGGCTTCTTATCGACCTTTACCAGCAGGAGAAAGCGAATACATTTCTATAATTGAGTTATGTTTTGTTGCGCAAGTGATGAGGACACAGGAACCCAAGTTTGTGTGATTTTGACTTTGGGCCACTAGAGGGCAAAAATATACTAAACCTGATGAAAATGCACGTGAGCCAGATTATGCCATCTGTTTATTTGACATGCTGGAGAAGTTTAATAGGAGGGAATGGGAATAATACCCACCAAGCTTGGTTCAAAAGCAGAGAAGTAGAGCATGTATGGTTTAGTCAGATTTGCATGCTGAGGGCAGACAGAGTAGTGGCAAACCAGTTCTCTAGGAAGTGGTTTTGAGGATCACAATTTCCTGTGTCTCCCAAGTGCTACTTTCTCAAACACAAGATGACACCCAATACAATGAATTCCAGCTGTCAAGACAGTCGAGGACAGAGAATAATAGGGTGTCATAATCTGCCATTGAAGCAAACCAGGATCAAAGACACCTGGGAAAACAATAGCCATGTTCTTTTTCTTTGCTTCCAATGTTTAGGTTTTTGTTCCGGTTCCTGTTTTTCTATCTATAGTTTTAGAAATTGAGGTCATTTCCATTTCAGTTTTTCATTGTAATACATCTAATAAATGCTTTAACAGGCTACATTGCAGTTGTAAAAGCACCTGTTGCCTCTAGTTGAGAGACAAGATCTTTAAATAAAGCCACCCTTTATAGGCTACAGAGTTTAGAAATGGTTTGTAATTGTTAATACCTGTCAGTTATTTGTTTATAATGCTAAACATATAATAATAATAAACATGTAATAGTAATAAACAAGTTATCCTTTAATGAATCATCACTGTTGACAATCACATGTTTAGCTAATTCTGTGCTTGTCACTTGAATTAGATTATTTTATGGGATATTGTTTGCCTATTGGATAAATAGGAAAGAAATTAAAGATAATTCGTTTCTCTAAGAACATTGCCTTTATCTGCACAGTTGCACAGTTCTTTATCTTGCACAGTTGCCTGCACAACAATTGGCAAGCCATGCAGAATCGACCAAGTGTGAAAAAATACAATTTAACTGTTTCTTAAAAACGAACTTCCAGGGGTGTCTAACTCATTTTGCCCCAGGGGCTGCATTCGGTCTTCAACAAGGTCAGGAGAGCCCAAAATGTGTTATATTTCCTTGTAGTCAAAATTTGCAAAAGAAATTGTCTACTATCCATCGTTTTGGGAATGTTCTATGCTCTCTGAATGTTTGGGGATTAGCCTATTAGCGAGCTGGACAGTGAAGAAATTGTATGAATGTAGGTCCATTGACTGCACAGTGATGATTAGCGAGCTGGACAGTCAATAAACTGTATGAATATAGGTCCATTATCATTTCTACACAGTTTTGATTTGGTTTTAGTCATTTGAAAGTATATCGATATATATATATATATATATATATATATATATATTTTTTACTCGAACCACCTCACGGGACTGATCCATATGTTGCCTGTATGTTTGATACCCCTGACATAATCTGTGGCATCATGCAACGACTAAAAATAACCCAAAATGAGAAATTATGTCCTTAAATTGATTAACATAATATCGCATATGACTCATAAATGGTTTATTGACCTTATATGAACAAGAATTAGAACATGTCCTGAATAAATGAAAAAAATAAACCAGGCTTCTTCAATAAAACGACAACACACCACTTTAAAGCTCATGCAAATATGACTAGCTTGTTCAGTATTTCAAATGTGCCCTGCAGGGATTTGGGTTTGTAACCTACTGCTCGTAGACTCAGAGCATGTAATTGTTCGAGCAAGTGGATCTGCTTTCGCTGCGTCCTAAAGGAGCCAGCGGATGTTCAAATAGACAACCAGTTGCTCGCCAGCCTGTCACGCCAAAAGTACTCACTTTCATGTCACCGCAGAGCATCCTCGACCTGTTGCATTGGAAGAAGAAAATTATTACATTGTGGCAGTAACACATTTGCTACATTTTAGGGTGCTCATACAGGTATGTGTTATTTGGAAGTTGAATAACAAAATAATAGTTAATTTTGATAAGCTCCTCTAGAGGCGTCTCTGCTTGTTCGCATCTCCATCTCTGGCATTGTGCACTGGTGGGTTCGGCGCTCAGGAGGGGACCATGGTAGTGGTAGAGCTGGAGAAGGAGGTGCTCCCGCTGCCTCCACGGTACCGGTTCCGAGACCTGTTGCTGGGTGACTGGCAGGCGGATGACAGGTAGGAAACCTATTCAAACTTGTTTATTCAGAAGAAACCTGTGTTGACGCACATAAACGCACAACAATCTAGCCTACCCATGATAGCATGTAATTGCTCACAAGTTAAATTAATCCTAATTTTCAGTCCATCACTTAGCTAAGAAATTCATCTTTGCGTTGCCATCGCAACTAAAAAACAGAATATAGGCTACTGTAATATTGTCATTTTTATTGATCTGGCTCTACTGATGGCGCTGTGAGAGAGGATAGGCTACTACGAAGCACTGTGCAGCAGCAGCAACAGGTTTCATAATGGAAAATACTGAACTAAATGCACAGACTCCATGTTAAATATTGTGTGTGCGTGTGTTGCATACATTACGTTTTTTCACCTATGCATCTATACTCCTGTCCATGCGTGGAAGTCAGGCATGCCAAATCCATTTTAATATCTATAATTATGAACACACATTAGGGAAAGTGTTAATAATTAGGTAATAATGTGAGCCTCTGGCAGCCATTCATTTAGTCATTATATCACCTATCTATTATTTATCAAGCCATAGATTGGGTTGACTTATTATGCTCCCTTCTGTTAACCTGGCTAGGTATGGTCAGGGTTGTTCGAAAAGCAGAACACAGAAGGCTCGATATACACTGAACAAAAATATAAACGCAACATGTAAACTGTTGAGCTGAAATAAAAGATCCCAGAAATGTTCCACATGCATAAAACATGTATTTCTCTCATATTGTGTGCAAAAATGTGTTTACATGCCTCTTAGTGAGCATTTCTCATTTGCCAAGATAATTCATCCACCTGACAGATGTGGCATATCAAAAAGCTGATTAAATAGCATGATCATTACACAGGTGCACCTTGTGCTGGGGACAATAAAAGACCACTCTAAAATGTGCAGTTTTGTCACACAACACAATGCCACATATATCTCAAGTTTTGAGGGAGTGTGCAATTGGCATGCTGACTGCAGGAATGTCCAACAGAGCTGTTGCCAGATAATTGAATGTTCATATCTTGACCATCAGTCGCCGCCAATGTCGTTTTAGAGAATTTGGCAGTACATCCAACTGGCCTCACAACCGCAGACCACGTGTAACCACGCCAGCCCAGGACCACATCCTGCTTCTTCACCTGTGGGATTGTCTGAGGAGGGGGGGGTGGGGGTGCTGAGGAGTATTTCTGTCTGTAATAAAGCCCTTTTGTGGGGAAAAACTCACTCTGATTGGCTGGGCCTGGCTCCCCAGTGGGTGGACCTGGCTCCCAAGTGGGTGGGCCTATGCCCTCCCAGGCCCACCCATGGCTGCGCCGCTGCCCAGTCATGTGAAATCCATAGATTAGGGCCTAATGAATTTATTTCAATTGACTGATTTCCTTCTATGAACTGTAACTCAGTAACATCTTTGAAATTGTTCTATGTTGCGTTTATATTTTTGTTCAGTATAAAAAGGGTTGAAGAAAGCTTCCATTTAAACAACGTTTTCCAATACTACAGTGTAAGGTTCTGGTTTATTTTCTTAGTTCACCTTGTGTTCTTGAACGTAGCCCTGTTTCTTTGTGTTCTTGAACGTAGCCCTGTCTTTCATTTTTGTTCATTGATTTCACCTGTGTTAGTTACTCACCTGGTCTCATCAGCTCCTTATTTAGTTCAGTTCTTTCTGTTTATGCCTTGTGAGGTATTGTTTGTTTTGACTCTACTAAGCATTTTCCTAGCTCGTTTGTGAGAACCAGTTATAGCCTTCAGTCCTAGTTTTGATTCTCCTGCCTGTTTGCCTACCTGTGTATGACCATTGCCTGCCTGTGACCACGATTCCTGCCTTCTGTGAACGTGAATCAACACCTTTTTCTCCCTGAGTATTCATTACATACAGAGGCAGTAATACTACGGTTGAATGGCCCTTGTTGCACAAAGAAATGCTATAACATTACAGAAACAACATATGAGATACGTCACAAATGGGGTGTTCCAATCGTATTTGTCTCTCAGACTGAAAAGGACCCTCACTTACAATACTGTTATTTCACATGATCTCCCGAAGGCCTTATTGCTCAGTGTGAAGTACAGGCCTTGTGGTCTGTGCATGGTCATCCTCTCACTAGTAGCCTCTTGTAATGTGTTAGCTATTGCCTAGGGACCATGTGATAAAGCGAGAGTACAGTGTAACCTCACTCAGATGGGGAGAAAGATAAATCCTGGTTACGGTTCAGTGGTGAAAGCCAAGGTTGTCTTTGGCACAGTGAGACACTTTCCCTTGTTCGAAATGCAGTTAGAATGTGATCTACATAGATATCTGTCCATCCAACCCCTAGAAAGAGTAGAACATCTGTCTTCCTGGTATTAACTAAAACACTGTAACCAAATGTCTGAGGAGGATGGAAAATGCATGTGACAGAAACAAAGGGGACATTTAGTGGGGAACATGGGGGCCATAAATATTGGGACTGTGAGCATCCAGGAACATTGAGCAGATGTGCTTCAACTGCTGCTCCCAGAGAGAGTACATTGCTGGACTACTCATGTATAATGTATTCCCTGCTGTAGTGTTTTGGAGATGGCTGGGGGCTCATCACTCCAAAGGCTTCAGCAGGCACATTGCTGCTCCAAGTGACACTGTGGGATCTCTTCATGCACACACACACACACACACACACACACACACACACACACACACACACACACACACACACACACACACACACACACACACTCTCTAACTCAGGCATGTCACACACACACCTACTCTAATCACACACCCAGCAGTTGGAACTGAGTGCCACTCCTCTTCAATGGGACTGGGTTTCAATAAGAGAAAAGTGACTAAATGATGTTTGAAGCTGGTGCGGTGACAGGAATGTAAGTGTGTGTGTGTGTGTGTGTGAGGTCATGTGAGAGAGAGTTAGTGAGAAAAAGAGTGAGAGAAAGACAGAGACCGAATGAAAGCAAGAAGGAGGGATGCAGGGCATTTTATCCTATCCTGATTCATGGTGTTGATCCCATTGGCTGTGGGAGTATTACCAGGTAAAATATGGACTCGGTGCAGAAGAGAGTCGGCTGATTAATGGTGACAGACAGCTTAATTCCCAGGCTGAATCACAGACAGTTTGTCCCGCATGTCACAATGTTCGCTCTATTAATCAAGGCTTCAACACTATCCCACTTACACAGACACACACACACACACACACACACACACACACACACACACACAAATATATACTCACATGTACATACTCTCTCTCTCACACACACACACACACACACACACACACACACACACACACACACACACACACACACACACACACACACACACACACACAAACAAACAAACACGTACATACTCACACATGCTCACACACGGATCCTCACACACCTGCTTACATACGCACGCACAAACAAACCGATCCCATGGCATAGTGTTTATGAACTGACACGCAAAACGACACCGGATTCAAAAATTTGAATCTTTCAATTTAAATTATTATATAAAATTCTTGCTACCAATAGAATGTTATTTATATGGGGGATACAATCTTCCCAGCTCTGCAGATTTTGCTGTGAAAAGAC